ATGGAGGGGACATGGGTTCGATCCCTGGTCCGAGAAGATCCCACATGCCACTGAGCAACTAAGCCAGTGTGCCACAACCACCAAGCCGGCGCTCTAGAGCCCGCAAGCCACAACTACTGAAGCCCACGTACTCTAGGGCCCACGTTCCACAACTACTGAGCCTGCGTGCTGCAACTACTGAAGCCTGTGAGCCTAGAGCCCAAGCTCCGCAACAAGAGAAGCCACCGCAGTGAGAAGCCCGTGCACCTCAACGAAAAGTAGCCCCCGCTTACTGCAAGTAGAGAAAGTCCACGCGCAGCAAGGAAAGGGGCCCACAGACCCAAAAAAAAAAAAAAAAAAAAAAAAAAATTAGCTTGTATCTTATATATACTCATATACTTTGGGCAGGAGGGTTATGGGTGGTTTTACTATTCTTTGTACTTTGTATGTTTTCTACTATAAGTATATGTTATTTTAACCAGAAAACATAATGAATGTTATTTTAATTCTGCTCTCATCACATTTCTATCCCCGCAGTTCTCACTGTGGAAAAGTTCTTAGCCAGTCGGGTGGAATGTCCTCCTTTCCCTGATTCTTCTTCATATGAATGTGGCTTAATTAACTTGTTATGAAAATTATGCCTCTATATTTATTAGGTAGAATTGCTGCCTAGTCATGAAAGTCGGTGCTATCTAGATAGTCACAAAGGTTCATAGTTTTTATTGGACTAAAGATAATTAAGATTCATTTGTAAACAATAGACCATTGCTTCTCTGAAATGGAAAATTTGAGTTCTTATCTAAATGTGTATGCAGGAATGATGTGAAATCTGGCATTTTCTCAGATGGGAAAGGTGAATTTGTGACAGAATATTTTATCTTCAAAAGTGTATTCCTATGTCTTTTTAAAAATAACCCATCAGGGGACAATGAAACTGTATTATGTGGGTGAAGGAATGGTATGCAAGGGGAAAAGAGAGGGGTGGTGATAGATGGAGGAACTTATGGATTTCTATGCACTCATCCTAATTTGTCTCTCAAAGACTAGATTTTAGTTCCTTTAGTCTGTCAAATCTATGTTGCCAAGTATTACATCTTAGTACCTTGACTTCTTTTCAAATCTATAGGCTTATTACCATTTTGTAAACTGCACTTGCAAATAAAGATTGCAAGTGACACGGTGGTTTTGTCACTTTCAAAGTGCTACGTGTTTTAGGCAAAATCCTAAGGGAGACTTCCATTTCTCTCCCATGCTTTGCCTCAGCTCTGTTAGCTGTCTGCAGCTGGTTACCAAGAGGCCTAGCTAGGTAACCTTGGCACAGAGATTGTATTTACTTCTCACCAGAAGAGAATACTAAGAAAGGAAGAGGTAAATATTTAATGCTCCTGCTACTTTCCCAAATGTTCATATGGGAATATTAATGCACCAACCTATATAGACAGTTGAATCTTTGAACTTTTTACTATGAACAAACAGACTTTTAAATCTCTACGTATAAATAGAGAATTCCTTCAGTAAGACCACCAGAGAAACAAAATCTACTTCCAAGCGTACTTTGTGCTTGTCTCTCAACTATAACTCTTATTTGGCTAACTAATTAATTACTTGTCTTTCTGTCTTCTTGAGGCTGCCTGAGCCACTCTCACAGCTTGTGGCCCAGTTTGATTCACACTGCACTCATCCAATGGGAGACCCTAAGTGATAATTGCTTCCTTATCACCACTGTGCTAATCACTCTTGCTTGAAAGCCTCCTCTGGGCTTAATTTTCCCCACTCAGAGCTGTCCTCTGGAGTCCTGAACATCTGCAGCTTTCCTTGCTGGCCTCCAACCTTTTCTCTTCTCTTTCCTTTCCTGAGTATGTTTAAACTCATACTGCCAGGCCACGCCTGAGGCACTCACGTCAGCTCTTTCTCTTTCCTCACTGAGGCTCCTGCCAAGGATGGGGTAGTGAAATGTTAGCCAGTGTTGGACAGACCTCGTTTAACTCTTGACCATTTCATCAGCTTGCTGTGTGCCCTTGATGAAGGAGCGTAACCTCTCTGAGCTTGCTTCTCCATCTGAAAACTGAGGGTTATTGAGAAGACTGAGTGACATGACATATCTAAAGTGATGAGCATCTCGTAGGTGCCTAGTCACCAGTAGCTCTCTGGCCAATGGACTGCATTTATTTCCCTACTTGTTTTCTTAAACAGTCCTTCCGCAAACTCCATACAGATCAAAATATAGACCAACAGCATAAAACCAAACATTTATTTTCCCCAAATAGAATACTTTTGTTCTCTATAGAACATGATGTGGCTTTTTTTCCATCAAAGTCTGCTTCTCTTCCAAATGCTTTCTGTTTGTCTTTTAGGGCATGAGTATTTCTCTCTTAATTACTTTAGAATTTTACTGTTGGAAGTTTTCATGAGCAATGTTTTGCAAACTTGAAATTATCCATTAAGAATATTATAAACTCCATTCAAGTCAGAGGTTTGTGACTATTATTGTCTAGAATTTTCCTGAGTTGGTAAGATTGAGATTTTGCTTTAGTGTGGAACTTTGTTATTTTATATCAAAAGGTATGAGTTTCCAGTTGTTGATGCTCATTCATTTGTGTCTTTCCAGGTGCCCAGGAAAAGACAAACTTGGAAGTCATTATTCTAGTCGGCACTGCAGTGATTGCCATGTTCTTCTGGCTACTTCTTGTCATCGTTCTACGGACCGTTAAGCGGGTAACGAAATCATTTCCCTTCCGTCCCATGCACGTTGGTTTTCATGATTAATGAAAGCTGACGGGGGTCCTTTGAGTTGATTCTTCCCATTGTTATTGGCTCAATAGGCACAATTTTATTTCCATACAATAACCTTCTTACCCACTTGCTTTTGGCTAGACCACTGGGCTTTAATTGATAGAAGCAACAAGAGAAGAAATGGGCTTGGACTGTCTAGTGTAATTAAGGTTTAAGAATTAAATTCTGAGCTCATTTGGGGGTCGAGGGGACACTGGGAGCAGAATTATAATAGGACTACTCTCACACACTATGAGCCATTTAGAAAATGAGACACCAAGAATGGGGCTTCTATAAACAACAATAACAAGCACAGAGAACAACAGCCAGACAACAGGGTGTGTGTGACCGGAAGGAGCAATGCTTTCCAGGCCAGTGGAGGGGAACTGAAGACGGGCTACTTATCCATCGTCATGGATCCAGACGAACTCCCCCTGGATGAGCACTGTGAACGCCTGCCTTATGATGCCAGCAAATGGGAATTCCCCAGAGACCGGCTGAAACTAGGTGTGTTTTCAAGTGATATTAATTTGATATTGGGTTTACCAGGCCATCTCTTCCTCTTTTAGGCTGGTGACAAATCTAGTCTATTTAAATGTTGGATCCTGGTTCAGAAAATGTATCCCATCTCTTGAATTTGAGTAATCGTCCATTTTAGTCACTTAGAAGTAGGGTCCCTGTATAATCACCCAAAGCAGGACATTTAGAGGGTGAAGAGGGAGATATTAAATCATTAAGCCAGGACAAGGGGGTCAACTGTACTGTCCATGATAAAGTGGGATGTATGGTCACCCTATCAAGTCAGAATCTTTGCCTATCGCTTTGGTGGTAAAATAGTCCAAGTCTGTTTTGCTGTTGACTCTAGGTAAACCTCTTGGCCGTGGTGCCTTTGGGCAAGTGATTGAAGCAGATGCCTTTGGAATTGACAAGACAGCAACCTGCAAGACAGTGGCTGTCAAAATGTTGAAAGGTAAAAGCAAAATTCTATGGTGATGTATCCCTCTATCTGTTTCATCCCATCTGTAAACATGATGAAAGGCTTGTATCAGTGGCTCTGTGGCTAGGTGGGCCCACGAGCCAAACATGGAGCCAGACTATACGATGCCTTTGTACAAACTAGATAAAAATTTCCTCTTTTATAGACTCATGTCAGGGTCCACAGCCTGGCAGGCAAAGTTGGGATGGATCTGAGCTCCCCTACCGCCCCACCTTGCCTGGGAGCCCTTGCACAGATCACAGCTTGTACAACTATATTTAGTAGTCCGGCTATAGGAAAAAAATACCTTGGTTACATCAAAACTGTTTTCTTAGTGTACTGTAGTGCATTAGTAAGATAATTACAGACCATCAAGAAACGGAAAAAGAAATTTGATGCAATAAGTAAAAATAGAAGCATGTAACCAGCATGTTCCCTAGAATTGGAATATGTAAAAGATTTTCACATATAAAAGGCAATATGCAAAATAAGAATGGTTGTGCTGGGAAAAAAAGGATTAAGGGGGACATTTTTAAAATTAAAAGTTTCATAAACAGTTGTCAAGCCTAACCATAATAGAATTCTGGTCTTGCCGTTTTAATTTGGGGGGGTGGTGATGCGTATAAAGCTCTTTGCTAGAATTGTGATGTGCTTTCATTGATGGAGACAGTGCTACTGACCCTTCGCCAATAGGTCTTGTGCATTTTGAAGGCACCTCTCTCCTTTTGCCTTTTCTCCCTTGTGGCCGAGGAGTATGTAATTTTGAGGTGTCTCATCAGGGCCTGAGGTGTGGACCACGTCTGTGAATTAGAGGGAAGTGTACCAGTCTGTACAGGATCAAACTCACAGTCTTAGCCTCATCGGCCTCATGTGCCAACTGGCTTTGCCAGCTGGCCCTTGTTAAGTTTCCTGCTCGGCACAGATTGGTGGGAACTCCAGCATAGCCCCTAACGCATGAGCAATACATGGTGTTGCTTCCTTACGAGGAAGCACTGAAATAATAAGGCCCTAAGAAGCATAGTAAACCTGATATGTGAAAATCCAGTTTCGTAAAAGGAGAAAATCTGGGCATGATTTCATTTGCAGATGTATTCTCCACTTTGCAAAAGACCTCGCAATGGCTTCCTTCAAATATCAAACATTCTGGGTACACTTAAAGAATTCGATTTAGAATTATACGATATAATTTATGTTTGTCTTTTAATGCAGCTAGCCTGTCAGTTGGGTTACAGTTGTATTATCCCTGGAGGGAAAGTTGCACAGATGCACACAGTGCGGCGTTAATCCTCCTAAGGTAATGCCTCATGTATGATTTCCCTCTGTGTTTGTATTTGTAGAAGGAGCAACACACAGCGAACACCGAGCCCTCATGTCTGAACTCAAGATCCTCATTCATATTGGCCACCATCTCAACGTGGTCAATCTTCTCGGTGCCTGTACCAAGCCAGGGGGTGAGTGTCTATAGATGGCTCTGGCTGTGGGATTTTGGCATATACTTTTCTGCTGGTATTTGAGGGAAACCACCCAACTCCCATGGCCTTGGTTTCCTTAACTTAGGAAACTTTGGCAGATTCCCATATATAAATATATTTCATGAAGGTTTAATGGGCACTGTAAAATTATTGTAGAACGTGAATTAAAAAGTGCTACATCATTATAATACAGTTTGCTACTTATGTAATAGGTGTTCGGAGGAGAAAAGTAAACTTCCCTCCAAATTTGAAAACAAAGGACTTTAAGAGTAGTCCCCCCCTAAAATGGAGTCTGATCTCAGGTGACTGTGTTGAAAAGCAAGTGGGTGGATTTTCTTCTGAAATTTTGGTTCATCTTCTGTGGAATTGCCTTTTGGAAAAAGAAAAGTTACAATATAAGGGAATTGCAGCCAGCTGATTTCTATGATCCTGTTTCCAGTGAAAGGGTGTAGCCTCTTCTGTGATATTTTCTAGCTCATTGATATCTTGAACACTTGATGAGAAACGAGTGAAAATACAAATACATTTTCTCTTCTTGGTATGCTGTGCTGTCTGCAGGGCCACTCATGGTGATTGTGGAATTCTGCAAGTTTGGAAACCTGTCAACTTACTTAAGGAGCAAGAGAAATGAGTTTGTCCCCTACAAGGTATGTCATTTCCGAACTCAACTGTGGTCACACTGTAAAATGGAGAACGACTCAAAGTGGTACAGGTTAAGTTTTTTGGTAAAATTCTGCAAAGAAATTGTGAGGAATCTTTTCATGTTACCTCTTGGCTGTTGTAACTTCCTCTTTTACCTTCCGGAGGACACATACTTCTCATGTTTTATTTTTGTGACTCTGATCTACAGACCCATTATAGGTGATGCCAAGGAGGGGAAGGTGGGTGTGATTAAGGGTAGGGAATGACAGGTGGAAGGACAGCTCTGGATTATTCTGTCTCTGCCCTGGCCATATGTGGCCCTATGGAGTGTCAATCCCAGTGTCAAAAGTGCCCTAATGTTGGAAGTGTGTCTGAGTGAAACTTGTAACAAGGCCCTTATTTCCAAGCTAGAAAAGAGACAGGCTTTATGGAAGAAAATCTGTTATGTAGAACACTTGCCCAAAATTTCAGCCCAGAGATTCCATGATCCTGAAATTGATGTCTCTCATCTTCTTTTAATAGTTACAATTGTTTCTATAGTTTAACTACATTGGAGAGATTTTTCTGGTGTTCAAGGAGTTTGTTCATCTGTTTCGTTATAGACTAAAGGGGCACGATTCCGGCAAGGGAAAGAATACGTTGGGGAAATCACCATGGATCCTAAACGCCGCTTGGACAGCATCACCAGTAGCCAGAGCTCAGCCAGCTCCGGATTTGTTGAGGAGAAATCCCTCAGTGATGTGGAGGAAGAGGAAGGTACCTGCCATTGCTTCCTCTGCACCGAATGCATGCTCTTGTAGGAACAGACAAGGTGACAGGGTGTTACAATGAATTTTGTCCTGGAAAAATCCAGTATTACCTAATATTTGAAAGAGACCTAAATTTCTAGGAGGTTTTCATTCAGTCTCCCCAAAAGTGAGGGGCGGAAGGTCTAAATAAGCAGCAGGCTACGTGGTGAGGCGGAGCATGGCTAGCCTGAGAAATCTCAGTCCCCCAGGAGGGCTAAGCAGCTGGCAAACAGTCAAACCAATGCTCTTCAAGTCTTGGTTCAACATTTGTCAGCAGGAGAGGCTCAGCACCATCTTCTGGATGGGCAAAGGAGGCTCTCTGGTGTTTGATCAGCTTCCCCATTGTCCACAGCGGGTCAGTCCCACCTTGTCTGCTTCACCAGCACAACAGAAGTCCTTCAGTTAATCATACCCAGCCTTCTCCAAGGCAGTGTAGGCATCTGTTGTTTTTACCCCAAGTGGCTTATCAAGTCTTCCATATTTCGTCAGAAGGGTCTTGGTCAATACACTTTTCTTTATCCACTTATGCTTCCAATGATATTTTAGTGCTCTTTATGAGTGGAGCTGTGTTCCCAGCCTAACTTTCAGGACCTCTTCCAGCTTCAGGATACACTGTATGTCTGCTTCCCTCAGAGGGAGCAGAGACAGCTCCGTGGAGGTAGAGATGGGGCTTCCTGACATTTGGGTCTTCTTGAGGCACGAGCTTAGAAGAATTCAATCATGAAATAGTGGAAGAAACCTGCTTCTGTTCCCTTTGACATGAGGCCACAGAGAGAACTTAAAACTGACTTCTTTCCCACGGAAGCCAAGCAGGCACTGTGAGGCTAGAACTTGGTCTAGAAAAGCGTGGGGAGATTGTCTGGACCTCACATAACTGGGTGCACACTGAGTGGAGCCACTTCTGCCCTGTCCTCTCTCTCACAAAATGGTGGCCAGAGAGCTGGAAACCCAAGGGCTTGAGGGAGTCAGTCGGAGTAGAGGGGGCATTGGCCCAGAATTTTGCCTCCATTTCTTCATCTGGAAAATGAAAGAGTTTCACTAATTTTTCATGGAGAGCCCTCCAGCCCTGAACATAGAAAGTCACTGAGAAAAAGTTTCGTAGTCTTTTTAATACTTACAAGGTTATTATTACAACTGAGTTTTCATTTGCTCTGGTATTTGTCTTCAGGAAAGAAGCCATGTCTTATCTTATCTGACCAAAGTTAAGAGATCATGTTGAAACGCTCATTAATGTCTTAGTGTTTCTTTGTACTAGTTGCCCAGAAGTAAATACCACAAATTTACGTAAATTCATCTTCCTCTCGATGTTCCTGTCTTCTCTCATTCGTATCCTTGAAGGAAAAAAGCATCCTCCCAGGCCAGATTTAATGTGTTTACAGCCCTTTCTCAGTTTAAAAGTGAGAGAAGTAAACATATTTCTGGTATTTTTAGTTAGCCATTGTAGATTATGGTTTGACCTTTGGCCTTTGTCCCAGGACAAAGCCTGGAGAGAAAAGATTCAATGACCCTGGATATTGTTGTTTTATTTTTAGAGTTCTTGATATGAAAACTATTGTTTATCCCTCTGGGTATATGAAAAAAACACAACACTTTAAACAGCAAATTTGTAAAAGCCTGCTTTTACCCCCCTGTTATCTATGCCAGTTTTTCCTCCGTTTTGCCTCCTGGATTTGTTCGTCCAATTTGGCTAAAATGGAAAAAACCAATATTTTTGCTAAGGGGTATGATAAAGGCTAATAATATACCAGGATTCAGCATACCTACAGAAGATAGAAGCATTTTCTGTCTGCTTCTATTTCCTGAAATTTAACTCCCAATTTTTAAAATGAAGATTGCTCTATCAAACTTACAAACAGTTTCTGGCCGAAATACCAATCTCTGTCCTCCTGCATCTTCTGACAGTTACTGAAGATGTGTACAAGAACTTCCTGACTTTGGAGCATCTCATCTGTTACAGCTTCCAAGTGGCTAAAGGCATGGAGTTTTTGGCATCACGGAAGGTGAGACAAAGTATCTCTTCACATCACAGATTTGCAAATGAGGTGTCCAGTGCCAGCCATTGGTGTTTGTTTGGGACTGTAATTCATTCACCACTGCTGGAGCACTGTTAAGAGAGCTCTACTGGGGAGGCCCCATTTCTGCTCATTAAAGTGGTATTAGGAGTTCATGAAATTAATTCATGTGATAAATACCTACTAAATGCAGGCAGTCTTCTGAGCGCTAAGGACACCATGTGAGCAAATAGGCAAAACTCTCCACCTTCATGGAGATTATGTTCTAGTGGGTGGAACAAACAATATAAACAAGTAAAATGCCTGGTAGGCTAGATGGGAGTAAGTACTGTGGAGAAAAATGAGCAGGAAAGACTTATAGCGTATACAGGAGCGTTATGTTCCTGTGGACATATGCCTCTGTGTTTGTGTACATTGATTTTAAACCAAGGGGACACGGAAGGCTTTAGGGGAATGTGCATTTGAGTAATGGCCTAGAAGAGGTGAGGGGCTGAGCCTTGCAAATATCTTGGCACAAGTCTGTTTTTCATTTCTTTGATATTCATCACCATCCATCAAAAAGTATTTGGTAGTAGCATAATTAGAAACCAGGAAGGACAGGCTTTAGATGAGAGCGATTGAAAGAGCTAAAATTAGAAAAGTAGGCCAAACAAAGGCTGAGGTGGATACGTGACAAGTTACAAACATTCCAAAGGTTGTAAACACTATGGAGGCACCCCTTGGAAAGGGTAAAATGGATGGTTTTACATTAAACAAGAAAAATTCAGATTAAGTATCAGGAAAAATTATCAGTTGACAGAATGCAGTTGCTGCAGCCTACCTGTGGGAGAAAGACTTAAAGTTTTTACTTTGTGTTTTTTTCCTAAATTAGAGTGAAATCCCTCACCCATGCCTTTTTCTGGAGTTTAAAGCTTGTCACCGCTTTCAGAGCCTCAGGATCTCCGAGGTTTCTGCCCAAGAGCTCTTGTCTTCTCTCTTCCAAGGGGAAGGGAGAGAAGTGGGATCTTAGAGGATTTTTCCAAAGAGAAAGGCCCTTTGCCCTTCTTGAAGATTCTGATTTTATTTTATTATTTTTTAAAGGCCAGAGCCTGCCGTTTAGTCACGGTTCCTTTGATGGGGAAGGGAATGAGGGGTGGAGGGGGATCCTTTTACTTCCCTCGCATCTACCAGCTGAATTTCTTGAATACCACCTGGTTGCTTAAAAAAGGAAGCTCTTTGGTTCGGGGCAAAGTAGGAAGGATTGTGTTTTTTGGAGTCTCCTGTCTTGATCAATCACGCCAGACAACGTGCTTTTTAAAAAAAAATTTTTTTAATAGAATTTTTAAAGGTTACACTCCATTTGCAGTTATTACAAAATATTGGCTATATTCCCTGTGTCGTACAGTACACCCTTGTGCCTCGTTCAGAAGAAAGTGCTCTTACAGATGTGAGGTGTAAGGGGTCCGTAATGCCTGGCTCACACATCACTCCTCCACTGACATAAGAATGCTCATCTAAGCCTTTCATTCATTTCTCAATGTTCCCCGAGACTCTTGTTCTCTTATAAATCTATCAGGTGGAGATAAAGCTGCTGAGGGTAGGAAGTTACATGAAGGTAGGGGGATACAGAGAAGAGAGAAACTGAGGAACAGAAAAGAATAGAAGGAAAACCAAGGAGAATTCGCTTTTCCTTTTCTGTGTACCAGAGAATCCCCTTGACTAGTGAGAGGCTGAGAGTGCTTTTATAGACCTCCACGATAAGCCAGAGCTTTGAAAACAGGGTGAGCCGCACTGGGAATTGTTTCTCAGAGCTTGTCCAGCTTCGGTTACGTGTGGAATAGAGAAACCAACAAAGGGCACCAAACGAAGGAGAGCCCCTTGTTTCTGATTTCCGTGCATTCATTCAAAATAAACCCCATTCTAGGGCCTCCTTAGAATAACACGTTTTAACCGTATATGGTGCCAGGCAAAAGGGATGTGTGGATGTGACCAGAAACACATTCTTAATTGTGTCCAAGAGAAGTCTATTTATGACTCCATCAGCATGCTATAACATAACTATTTAATTCCAGAGTCTGGGGCTGTTTATGGAATAAGCAGATGTGTGTCTCAATGAAACTTACAGACTTTTTTCCGGAAGAGTTGATAAAAGATGTTTAACCCAGTGCTTGTTAATCAGTTGGTTTTCTGATGTGGGTTTTTTTTTTTTTCTTTTTTTTAAAGCATGAGGTCACAACAGATGTGGAAGAGATCAGTTATGTTGAGTCCTAATGCACACGATTCTTTTTGCAGTGTATCCACAGGGACCTGGCAGCGAGAAACATCCTCTTGTCAGAGAAGAATGTGGTTAAAATCTGTGACTTCGGCTTGGCCCGGGATATTTATAAAGACCCAGATTATGTCAGAAAAGGAGATGTAAGTTTCAGAGATACACGCAGTGATCTGTTAAGTTGCAGAATTCAAACTCCTCTCAGCAAGCCTCAGGACCTGTGTCCAGGGACAATGGAAGCTTTTCCTTCAGATATGTGATAAGTTGGGTTCTCATTCCTTGTCTTCTACCCCTGTAGGCTCGCCTCCCTTTGAAATGGATGGCCCCAGAAACAATTTTTGACAGAGTGTACACAATTCAGAGTGACGTGTGGTCTTTTGGTGTCCTGCTCTGGGAAATATTTTCCTTAGGTAAGTTCCTTCTCTTTGTCTCTCCATCCATACTCCAAATAAAATGATAAAAGTCAGTGACCCCAGGGCGCCTTTCCCTCTCCTGTATTCCACCTTTGTCGGATGAAACTTACTTGGAAGCTTTGGGTTGTAAAACCTAAAAAAGCAAAGAAAGAAAGAAAGGAACAGAAGATATATATGTGAAGAAGGTGTCGAAGAATCAGGCTCAGGGCTTTCTGCAAGAGAAAGTCAAATCAATAAGGCACCATGCCTCAGGACAGGAATAAAGATGCTGACGTAGAGTGGACTTGAGGACACAGGGAGGGGGAAGGGTGAGCTGGGACGAAGCGAGAGAGTGGCATGGACATATATACACTACCAAATGTAAAGTAGATAGCTAGTGGGAAGCAGCCGCACAGCACAGGGAGACCAGCTCGGTGCTTTGTGACCACCTAGAGGGGTGGGATAGGGAGGGTGGGAGGGAGACGCAAGAGGGAGGAGATATGGGAGCATATGTATATGTCCAGCTGATTCACTTTGTTATACAGCAGAAACTAACACAACATTGTAAAGCAATTATACTCCGATAAAGATGTTAAAAAGAAATAATAATGCCCCATTCCTGTTTTATTCTAGGTGCTTCTCCATATCCTGGAGTAAAGATTGATGAGGAATTTTGTAGGAGATTGAAAGAAGGAACTAGAATGAGAGCTCCTGATTATACCACACCCGAAATGTAAGACTTTACAAGTATTTCTCTATCCTCCTTTGCTCACAAAAATTCTCCCTGCCTAGAAGACCTTCCATTATAGGTACCTCCTTCATGGCCCAGTTTGTGTCTTACTTCTCCCTTGATGTCTTCCTTGATAATCTTAAGCGCGGAGTCATCCTTCTTGAAATGACAGCACTTTATCTATACCAACCAGTCAGTTTTTACTAGATGTTGATTTATGACGTTTCCTTTTCTATACACACTTGATGCTCCAAGTGTAGGGTTCTGTGTTTTACGTAGTTTCGTATCCCTCTTTAGCATCTTGGCTCATGGTGGACTCTTTATAAATATTTACTCATTCAAGTGCTTATTGTCAGCATCAGATCAGGAGGAAAGAGGCGGTTAATGACATCAGTGTTTTGCTTCTCTAGGTACCAGACCATGCTTGACTGCTGGCATGGGGAGCCCAATCAGAGACCCACGTTTTCAGAGCTGGTGGAACATTTGGGAAATCTGTTACAAGCGAATGCTCAGCAGGTTTGTGACCTCCGTCCAAGAAGCTTCTACAGAGAGTACTTAGGTGTCCAGGGCTCGTCTGCTGCCTAGACCTTCTCATGGCCACCATACTGTCCTCTCAGCCACTGAATCCAAGGAGCCATATTCTTCCAGATCTGAGCAGTAATGCTTTTCGAAAAGTCATAATTACCTTTTTGACAGATGAGATCCTAATTCATAACCTGGGAGCTGATCACTTTTATTTTTACTGATGTATATTGTGGTGTCTTCAGAGGCTCTTATAAAGTAAAAAAGCAAACAAACAACAAACAAAACTAAAAAACAAAAAAAAACAAAACCTAGTTGATCAAGTGAATATCAACAGTGGACAGAATTTCAAGGAATTTTAAATACATTCTTCAAGCAAAAACACATCTGAACCCTGCAAAATTGATGGGGTTTTTTTCCCCTCTGTAAAATCCCAGGCCCTCATAACTTCCATTGGAGGATTTTAGACTTGTAGCCTTTACTGTTAGAAAGTTACTTAATCTCCAGTCAACACCTCTTACTACAGTGAATGGAAGTCAATTTCCTCCTGCTTTTCTTTTGAACAGGTGGGGGACAATGGGTCAAATCTATTTTTATCGATAAACCTTCCAAACATTTAGAGGTATCAAATTGCCCTTTATTTCTTTCTCTTGATGAAATAATGTTAAGTTCTGCAACCTTTTCTCAGTAGACCCATTTTCCTGAACATTTACTGCTTTTCTTTAGACTGTCATCAGTTTTTCCACTGCCTTGAAGCATAGACGCTAAAATTGGATGACGTGCCCTTTAAAGGACCCAGCTCGTGTAGACAGGACTATGTGAAGAAACGATTTCTCAGCTCTGCGGAGCTCTGCCTGTTCTGTTGTTCCATCTGTAACCACAACCCGTTTTGTCTTCATTGTAACCATAGTGCTCTGTGGTCCCCTTACTCATCTTGTTTTTTGTTAGATCCTTTAATATACTTTCATCTACACATCGCTTTTGAGTGCCCTTTCGTTTTGGACAAGCCATTTTTGAAGTTGTCTTAAAGTTTTACATTCAGATATGAAAGCCACATTCCCCATAAACAAGAAGCCCCAATGGCCTTTGTTTTTCATAGAAAGGCTCTTGAAGGACTGAAGCCATAACAATAGCACTCTGTGTTTATTGTTTCAGGATGGCAAAGACTACATTGTTCTTCCCATATCAGAGACTTTGAGCATGGAAGAGGATTCGGGACTCTCTCTGCCTACCTCACCTGTTTCCTGTATGGAGGAAGAGGAAGTGTGTGACCCCAAATTCCATTATGACAACACAGCAGGA